TGAAGACCAGAAGTCTGGATTCAATGGGTCTACATGACCATACTCCCTCCCAAGTCTCCAGGGAAGGATCCTTCCTCGCCACTTCTAGTTTCTGGTGGCCCCTGGCATTCCTCATCATGTGGGCCCATGACTCAACTCTGTCCCCATGCTCACATGGCTGTCTTCTTGTGTCTCTGTCTCCAGCCCATTCCTCTCCCTTACAAGAACTCGTGTCTTTGAATTTATGGTCCAACAGGGAAACCCCAAGGGAGGCCTGGTAGCACTAAGGTTTAGGTACTGCTAACTACAAGGTCTGGTGGTTCAAACCCCCAAGCTGATCTGACAGAGAAAGATGAGGCTGCCCAGTGGGGCTCTGGTAGCTTAGTGGTTATAAATTGGGCTGCAAACCTCAAGGTCAGCAGTTCGAAACTACCAGCTGTTCCGTGGGAGAAAGATGAGGCTTTCTGCTCCTGTAACCTGTACAGGGTCACTATGATTTGAAACCGACTTCACAGCACATAACCACAACCACCACCACCACCACCACCACCAAGAAGGGAGTCCTGGTGTGGCACTGTGTGTTAATGCACCAGACTGAAGAGCCGTTTGAACTGCAAGGTAGGTGGTTCAAGTTCACCAGCTGCTCCTCGGAAACCCTATACAGGTTCGCTATGAGTTGGAACTGACTCCACAGCACATAACAACAACAACAACAACCCAGTGGGGCAGTTCTATCTTGTCCTATAGCATCTCTCTGAGTCCAAATCAACTTGGCAGTAACCAGGATGATGACATCATCACAATAGCTTCATCATATCCAGACATACCCTTTGTCCAAGAAGGCCATGTGCACAGGTTCCGGGAACTATGATATGGACATGTCCTTTTGGGGCCACTCTGTTCATTCCCCTCCATGCCCTGACAAGGTGTCTGCTGCTGTTTTTACCCCAAACACCTCAAGCCACCGATCCTCCCCAGAGGCAGTCCTTCATTCTTCAGGGAGCAGACAGACAGATGTAAACCTGGCTGAGGAGATGGGGTGGGGGGCGCTGCAAGATGGCTTTGGAGATGAAAAGACCCTGAGGCAGTGGAGCAGACAAGGAGGGGTGGAATTCCCAGGGAGGTAAAAGAGTCACAGGGACTCAGAGAGTGCAGGAATGTTGTGGGGCAAGGGGACGGGACCTCCACCCAGAATTTTATGAACTGGCTTCCTGGTGCTGCAGTGCATTAAGTGTTGTGCTGCTAACTGCAAGATCAGTGGTTCAAACTCACCAGTAGCTCTGCAGCAGAAAGATAAAGCAGTCTTGCAGAAAGTGGCTCAGCTTCTGTTGTTTGACATGGTCCCAGCAGAAGGAGAGATATCTTGCAAGACAGATAATTCTCAGAAGCTGCTTTCTATCTTCTCTCTAAAATAACTTTGAATTCACTTGTAAAATTATATAATATGGCCATATTCACAGCCTTTTACTATGAGCTCTATAGACCTTGGGAAAAAAAACTGGTCTAGCAACAATTGTTTTCAGCTTCGGTGGATTGAATTCAAAGGCAATTGTATGTGCCACTCCTGTTCACAGAAAACCTAAGTACAAAATAACTGCATTTATGAGATCACATAAGCAGATAACAAACTAAAGCAAAGCTGACCAACCCCTGTAGACCTCGCCACAATCAATTACTAGCCAGAACCCACAAACTCCCACTATTACATACAGGCACCTACGTGAATAGGCAGAGAATAGTGAACATAAGTGAAAGGTGGTCAAAACTTAATCATCTACATTTTCTGAAGCAATTAGCCAGGTTGGGCCTTATGCCTCATAGCTTCAAAAAGAGGAAACATAGGAATATTGTGGTTAAGCAAAAACAAAAGAATTATTAAGTAGATGTTAGTAATACTTTTACTGCGAAAATAGTAATGTCGTATGTAGGATAGAAGATGAATAATCACCTAGTAGAAACAATAAAGTAGTGTAAGCATTGATGATTAATAGAAACTCATATTACTAAGAGGATGTAATCAAGGGTCTGATAAGTGGAAATGATTTGTGTAAGGTTTAACTTGATCTTTTAGTGGGAATAAGAAGAAGCAATTTATCACTTACGTAGGAGAGGAGATGAT